TTCCCTCTGTAGCAGAAGCAGCCCACGATGGGGTCTGATCATCTTCATTGTACCCTCTGTGTGCGTCCGCTGCCCCTCTGCTGCCCCTCTGTGTGTGGTTCTACCCTTAGACTGAAGAGCTAGCACCTTGACTTCTATGTCCCACCTGTCCCCAGCCTCAGAGGACTCTCTGATCACATGACCTGTGGACATGGATCTGGTCCTGTCACATTTTGTTCGCTCGACTGGTGCAGAGCCAGGATTGGCTAGAGATCTCCTGGAAGGTAAGACAAGGAGCCGAAGCCGTACCTGTGGCGTATTTTGTCGTTCTTTTATTTAAAGTACTAAATCCTCAACTTTTTATAACCGAAACACACTGTTTGGATTATTGTAACACAGGAGAATAAATAATTTGATCGCTTAAAGAGCCCACAATTCAAAGTGGTTGTAAAGGCAGAATCTATTCTGTGCATGAAAGTAAAAGAAAATCTGAGCGGAGCTCCTCCCACAGCACCCCCCCTTTTACTCATCTGAGCCCGATCCCAATCCTGGTGCTTGTTCCACCTGACATTACTAAGGTTGTAGGATTGAATCCCATCCATGGCACCACCTGCCTGGAGTTTACATGTTCTCCCTGTGCCTGCGTGGTTTTCCTCCAGGTACTCCAGTTTCCTCCTACGCTCCAAACACATGCTGGTTAATTGGCTCCTGTCTAAATTGCCCCTAGTATGTGTGTGTATGAATGTAAGTTAGGGACCCTTGAGGGTTAGGGACTGATGTGAATGTACAATATATATGTAAAGCGCTGCGTAAATTGACGGCGCTATATAAGTACCTGAAATAACACACATAATGCAGTCTTCTATTCAGCCAGCAGGTGGTTTTTTATCTTTTCACATGCATCCATCATCAGCAGTGGCTCCTTCCCTGTCAGAAGGCCTACTCTGAGGTTTCAATCAGACAAAGGGAGCTGCAAAGCAAGAACCACCTTGTTGTCTCTTAAGCGAACCCATTTAGCTCTGGGACCCTTTGTCACTTAAGTGTTCCTGCATGGCGACCACTTCCTGTTATCTCACATATATATGGGTGTACTAGGTTATAACCCTCAAGGGGAGTACAATCTAAGGTCCCTAACCCTCAAGGGGCGTACAATCTAAGGTCCCTAACCCTCATGGGGCGTACAATCTAAGGTCCCTAACCCTCAAGGGGCGTACAATCTAAGGTCCCTAACCCTCAAGGGCGTACAATCTAAGGTCCCTAACCCTCAAGGGGCGTACAATCTAAGGTCCCTAACCCTCAAGGGGTGTACAATCTAAGGTCCCTAACCCTCAAGGGGCGTACAATCTAAGGTCCCTAACCCTCAAGGGGTGTACAATCTAAGGTCCCTAACCCTCAAGGGGTGTACAATCTAAGGTCCCTAACCCTCAAGGGGTGTACAATCTAAGGTCCCTAACCCTCAAGGGGCGTACAATCTAAGGTCCCTGACCCTCAAGGGGCGTACAATCTAAGGTCCCTGACCCTCAAGGGGTGTACAATCTAAGGTCCCTAACCCTCAAGGGGTGTACAATCTAAGGTCCCTAACCCTCAAGGGGTGTACAATCTAAGGTCCCTAACCCTCAAGGGGTGTACAATCTAAGGTCCCTAACCCCCAAGAGCATACAATCTAAAGTCCGAACCTTCAAGGGGGTACAATCTAAGGTCCTTAACCCTCAAGGGGCGTACAATCTAAGGTCCCTAACTCACATTCATATATACACATACTAGGGCCAATTTAGATAGGAGCCAATTAACCTACCAGCATGTCTTTTGGAGTGTGGGAGGAAACAGGAGTACCTGGAGGAAACCCACGCAGGCACAGGGAGAACATGCAAACTCCAGGCAGGTGGTGCCATGGCTGGCATTCGAATCAAGGACCCTAGTAAAGCCAGGTGGAAGTGCCAACCATTCAGCCCCTGACCTTCCAGGTAAAGACGTTTTCCACTCATAACCGCACCAGCTACAGATCGTATTGTTATTTGTTCCAGTGTGCATGAGTGCCGCCGCCGCATTCCTAACATTTCCCTGGTGTGGAGACTATGCCTGTGGTGTCGGCGCAGCCAACATCCCCACATTGGGGAAACTATGAATGCTGGGGAAGGCATGTGCGCTAGCCCAAAGAATGATGGGACATCTAGATTACACACACAAGGCAATGCTCTCTGCCCTTCCTCCAAGGAACGCCATCACTCATTTTATTGGAGGAGGAGCAGTGGAGGCTCCTCTGGGGCAGTCCTCTCGGGTTGCCTGTGCTGGAGAATTTTAAACAATTCCTACTGCTGAGAGGGGAAGGCTTGCAGCGTATCCTGTTTCTTGATCCCTTGTCCTGTCCTCTGGATTAAAGACCAAATCCACCAAATGTTACTACGGTCTACTGAAGTGTAACAAGCATTTCATACGTGTCTCAGGCTTTTATTGACCATTTGCAGAGTCAATCTTTGCAGTGTTGGCCCTTCTTTATTCAAGACCTCTGCAGTTGTCCCTGGCATGCTGCCAATCAACTTCTGGGCCACATCCTGACTGATGGCAGCCCATAGTCCATGCTTTCAGTTTGTCAAAATTTGTGGGGTTTTTTGTTCACCCGCCTCTGGAGGATTGACGGAATCTGACAGATTCAGATCTCACGCTGACAGCTCGAGAGGAGAGATGGTAATCGGCATTCCGCAGAGGGGACATGTACACTGATCATCAGACCACTGATGAGTGTAGCCCCAGCAGTGCCACCTGTCAGTGCGCATCAATGCCACATATCAGTGCCCATCTGAGCTGTCTTTCAGTGCCAGTCAGTGCCCGCCTTTCAGTGCCCATGAGTGATGCCTGTCAATGCCCATCAGTGCCACCTATCAGTGCCAGCTGTCAGTGTACATCAATGCCACATATCAGTGCCTACCAGTGCACATCAATGCCACATATCAGTGCCTACCAGTGCACATCAATGCCACATATCAATGCCTACCCGTGCACATCAATGCCAAAAATCAGTGCCCATCTGAGCTGCCTTTCAGTGCCACCTATCAATGCCAGTCAATGCCACCTTTCAGTGCCCATGAGTGATGCCTGTCAATGTCCATCAGTGCCACCTATCAGTGTCCATCAGTGCCAGCTGTCAGTGCACATCAATGCCACATATCCGTGCCTACCCGTGCACATCGATGCCACATATCAGTGCCCATCTGAGCTGCCTTTCAGTGCCACCTATCAATGCCAGTCAGTGCCGCCTTTCAGTGCCCATCAGTGATGCCTGTCAGTGCCACCTATCAGTGTCCATCAGTGCAACCTTCTTAGTGCACATCAGTGAAGGAAAAAAATAACTTATTTACAAAATTTTATAACAAAAACTAAGAAAAAACGTATTTTTTTTTCTTCAAAATTTTCAGTGGTTTTTGGTTTAAGAAAAAACAACCCAGAGGTGATTAAATACCACCAAAATAAAGCTCTGTCACAAAAAATGATAAAAATTTCATATGGGTACAGTGTTGCATGACCGCACAATTGTCATTCAAAGTGCGACAGCGCTGAAAGCTGAAAATTGGCCTGGGCAGGAAGGGGGTATAAGTGCTCTGTAGGCGAGGGGTTAAAATTATAGACCGTCCCGAGGCACCCCATTCCAAAATTTTTAAAAACTATTTTAATAGCTTTTATATAACACAGCAACATCCACACATGTAGGACACCCAACATTGGATTTATTCTTCCAAAGCAAGTACACTTTTGCACACTGGTACTGACTAGTATTCCAATGTTTCTCCTCTCCCTCAGTTTTTCTCCATCACTCAGCAAATTGTGCCAAGGCATCCCTTAAGAAACATCAAGGCACTCTGGGGTTCCTGGGCACCCTGGTTGAGAAAGGTTGGTTTAGTACACATGCCTTGGCCGTGACCAATTTTAACCTGCCCATGGGGCACTGCCGCCACTGCAAGCCATGCAATTGTAGTGCGGTATTTCCATATAAACCACACCCCCTAGGGGAGGGCGGAGAGTGGCATTTTACGAGGCAACAGGATCACCTCCTTGAGCTCTGGTTCACACTGATAGTGTGCGAAATTCTCAGCGTTTTCAGTGCAAATTCCGCACCGCATCAGAATCGCACCCCGTTCATGCAAACCGTTGCAGGTGTGTAGGTTACGTTAACACCCCAAAAGCGATCCGCAAAACGCGGTGCGATGTGCAGAATCGGATCATGTAGGTGTGAATACCCATGCGATCCGATTCTAGTGTGGACCAAAAAAGGGCCCTGAATGTTTTGGGTGCGGTGCGAATAGAGCCATACAAAATGTACAACTCCAATCGCACCGCACACAAATCGAATGTGATTTGCGCAGGAATGCGGTCTTCTTCTTCTTCTTTTTTTTTTTTTTTGTGGTCTTTTGGAACCAATAAATTGTCTGATGTGAACTTTACACTTTGAACTGGAGGTGCGACATGCGAGCGTGACCAACCGCTAAGTGATTTCATAGGAATCTGTGTTGCTGGTAACGGCGCTGATGACGCTGATTATTATTATACAGGATTTATATAACAGTTTGCTCAGCGCTTTACAATATAACGGGAGACAATACAGTTCAATACAAGAGGGATAGGAGGGCCTGATCCTTGGAGCTTACAATCTAGGAGGGAGGGGCTAGTGGTACAAAAGGTAGTAAATGTGGGGGATGGACTGGTTGGAAGAGTAGAAGATTCCATTATTAGCTGATAGGCTTCCCTGAATAGAGAAGTTTTCAGAGATCGCCTAAAAGTGGGCAGAGTAGGCGATAGTCTGATAGATTGGGGTAGAGAGTTCCAGAGGATGGGGGAAGCTCTGGAGAAGTCCTGGAGACGAGCATGGGAGGAGACAAGGGAGCTAGAGAGTAGGAGGTCTTGTGAGGAGCGGAGAGTATGGTTTGGGTGATATTTTAGAGACAAGATCGGTGATGTAGTTTGGGGCAGAGTTATAAATGGCTTTATACGTTATTGTTAATGTTTTGGAATTTTATCCGTTGGGCAACTGGAAGCCAGTGGAGGGATTGGCAGAGAGGAGTGGAGGACACTGAGTGGAGATCAGTGGAGGGATTGGCAGAGAGGGGTGGAGGACACTGAGTGGAGGCCAGTGGAGGGATTGGCAGAGAGGGGTGGAGGACACTGAGTGGAGGCCAGTGGAGGGATTGGCAGAGAGGGGTGGAGGACACTGAGTGGATTCCAGTGGAGGGATTGGCAGAGAGGGGTGGCAGATACAGAACGGTTAGTAAGGTGGATGAGTCTGGCAGCAGCATTCATGATAGACTGAAGAGGGGATAGCCTGCGATGAGGTCGGCCAATGAGGAGGGAGTTACAATAGTCAAGGCGAGATATAACAAGGGAGTGAATGAGTTGCTTAGTGGTTTCCGAGGTTAGGAACGGCCGTATCTTGGAGATGTTGCGGAGGTGAAGTCCGCAGACATCTGAGATCTGCCTTCCATGTGGTCGGTGCAGTTCGCAGACATGTGTCCTAAAATACTTGAGCCGCACCTCGGAGCTCAGCTTGACAGATTTCCTGAAGGCGCAGATTCTGCACATACTGGAGATTCTACAGATCACGTTTTGTCTTCCTCTTTGTGAGCTGAAAGCTGAACTCGAGGCAAACCGATACACAGAATAATACGGATCTCAGAGCAGACTTACCTGCCGCACGATTGGTAGCTTTTCCAGTCCCTGTCACACAGCACAGCCCTGTCTGGAAGGGCAGGAGACCTGATTTGTACGCTACTGCAGTTCTGACACCTTCAGGTCCTGTGCCTTTCCCAGCCTGTGACTGGACAGTGAAAGGATGAGCAGCTTAGGGATGAGCTCATCTCTCTTGTCACTCTGCTCTCGCCTACTATCAGCGTGCACTTTGTACTGTGACAGAACTGATTTGCTCCTTGTGCTGATTCTTGCTTTCCCAGTCTGAGCTCTGCTGTAGAGTGACTTCAGAGTCTGATACAAAGTCAGGTTTTAAGGAACATTAAATTGGGGGGGGGGGTATATTTTTAATGATGTGTTTAATAGAGGTTGAGTGATCTGGATATAATCAGGACATACAGTAACTAGTCATAATAGTATTCCTATTCAGGGCTGAATATTTGGCCAACCTAAAGTGGTTGTAAAGGCTTAACGTTTTTTTTTTTGTTTTTTTTATCTTCATGTATTCTATACATAAAGGTAAAAAACCTTCCCCCCAGCCCCCTCAGTACTTACCTGAGCCTCATCATGATCCAGCCATGTGAATGATAGCCTCGGCTGTCCCAGGTCTCTGCCTTCTCATTTGCTGAGACAGCAAGCGGGAACTATTGGCTCCCGCTGCTGTCAATCACAGCCAGTCAGCTAATAAGGAAGGAGAGAGGAGGCGGGGGCCGAGCCACGACTCTGTGTGGGAATGGACACACGGAGCAGCAGGTGCCCCCATAGCAAGCTGCTTGCTCTGGGGGCACCCATCAGGAGAGCCTGCGGGGGGACCTGAGAAGAGAAGGATCTGGGCTGCTCTGTGCATAACCTCTGCACACAGTAGGTAAGTATAGACAGGTTTGTTGTTTTACAAAGAAAAAAAATGAACCTTTAGAATCGCTTTAAAGAAGGTTTCTTCACAGTAAGAGCTGTGAAAATGTGGAATAGACTCCCTCAAGAGTTGGTTGTGGCCAGCTCAGTGGATTGCTGTAGGAAAGTCCTGGATTCTTTCTTGGATACACAGAATATAACTGGATATAACATTTATTTTTATATATATATATATATATTTTTTTTTTTTAATGGTTGAACTGGATGGACTTTTTCAGCCAGACTAACTATGTAACTGTAATGTCACTCTTTGTCTATACTGACTATTTTTACTGCTTATGCTCCTGGAATTAGGAATAGATAGGCAAGTATATTATGTGCTCGTTTTAAGTTTTTTTTTTTTTTTTTTTTCTTTACATTTCTCCAGTTACTTCCTGGTTTCCATGCCTAGGCAAATGATTTCATACATCCCTGGAGACTTCAGGAGGGGAGGAGGGGTTTTGTAAGCTAAGCACACCTTTCTGCCTGCATGCCTGGGCTAAGGGAAGATGAATTCCAGGAAGTAAATGGAATCATCTGCCCTTACTTAACCACTTGCCTACCGGGCACCTTTACCTTCTTCCTTACCAGGCCAATTTTCAGCTTTCAGCGCTGTCACACTTTGACAATTGCGCGGTCATGCAAGATTGTACCCATATGAAATTTTTATTGTTTTTTTCTCACAAATAGAGCTTTCTTTTGGTGATATTTACTTGTCGCTGGGTGTTTTACTTTTTGCGCTATAAACAAAAAAAGTGCAAAAAATTTGAAAAAAGGAAATTTTCTTTGTTTCTATTATAAAATTTTTGAAACAGGTAATTTTTCTCCTTCGCTGATGTGCGTTAATGAGGCTGCACTGATGGGCACTGATAGGCAGCACTGATAGGCAGCATTAATGAGGTGGCATGGATAGACAGCACTGATAGGTGGCACTGACTGGGACCACTGCTAGGCACTGACTGGCACAACCACTGGGCACTGACTGGCACAACCACTGGGCACTGACTGGCACAACCACTGGGCACTGACTGGCACAACCACTGGGCACTGACTGGCACAACCACTGGGCACTGACTGGCACAACCACTGGGCACTGACTGGCACAAGCACTGGGCACTGACTGGCACAAGCACTGGGCACTGACTGGCACAACCACTGGGAACTGACTGGCAGCACTGCTGGGCGGCACTGGTGGGCACCAATCATCAGGGCACTAACCCTCAAGGGGCGTACAATCTAAGGTCCCTAACCCTCAAGGGGCGTACAATCTAAGGTCCCTAACTCACATTCATACATACAAATACTAGGGACAATTTAGACAGGAGACAATTCACCTACCAGCATGTTTTTGGAGTGTGGGAGGAAACTGGAGTACCCGGAGGAAACCCACGCAGGCACAGGGAGAACATGCAAACTCCAGGCAGGTGGTGCCGTGGTTGGGATTCAAACCAACGACCCAAGTACTGCCAGGTGGAAGTGCTAACCATTTAGCCACTGTGCTGCCCATAATATTGCATATTAAAAATACAGGAGTGTTTTTGGTCTGTGGTGATCAGATGTGGTGTGGTTCCACTTTAAATCTGAAGCGTAATTTCACCTTATCGTCATGCTAATGAAATCTTTAAGTAAACCTCTTTTTTTTTCATTACATACCTTATTAGAGTCCCAGTGACATCATCACTGGGCCTCTGTGCATCTCTATATAATGCAACAACAAACACCTTTTCAATAATCCAATGTAACCCTCTCCCACAATCTCATATACATAAATATAAATGTAAATGTCCACACCTCAATCCAAAAATATAAAATTGTGTAATAAAGTCCAAAAATAGAAAAAAATAAAATGGAAAGTAAAGTCCAAATTAAATAACAATAGTCCTTTTATGTGTAAAACATCCAAAGAATATCCAAAAATATCCAAAAATATCCAAAAATATCCAGAATCTTCCTACTCAATCCAAACGATCCTCAAAGAACGAAAAATAATATAGTGCATTATCCTTAATACATATTATTGTGAAATGATATCATGCAATCACATCAGTGATCAGGATAGATAAACGAATAAGTGATGGTGAAATCACCTCAATCCTGTGCTCTTAATGAGAGAACACTGCATAAGTGAGAATAGAACCACACAGTGTAATCTAAATATTAACAACCGTGACATAAGTGTCAAAGCAGTGCCACACTCTGTAAGGGGATATGGTTGCAATTACCCTCTTGTTGTTTAAATAGAGGACATATAAAATACTTAAATCCCCAAGGTAGCCTTCCTGCGAGGTGCGTCTTCCTCCCAGGAATAGACAGTGGGGTCCCTTTTTCTTCCAAGGTCAAATCCCTCAAAGAGACCACGGTCCCCGTATCTCTCGGGTGGAAAATAGGAGCAAACTCAGTGGAGTGTCATAAAAGTACACTTTAATTAGGTAGACTCACATTTCAGTTAATACCGTCCATCTCCCCCTCCGTTCGTTCGTACACAGAAACAAAAATGGCCGCGCTGCTCCTTCCGGCTGCAGCGTCTGAGCGTCTGACGTCACGACCCTGACGCGTTTCGTCACTTCCGACTTTTTCACAAGGGATCCCTTGTGAAAAAGTCGGAAGTGACGAAACGCGTCAGGGTCGTGACGTCAGACGCTCAGACGCTGCAGCCGGAAGGAGCAGCGCGGCCATTTTTGTTTCTGTGTACGAACGAACGGAGGGGGAGATGGACGGTATTAACTGAAATGTGAGTCTACCTAATTAAAGTGTACTTTTATGACACTCCACTGAGTTTGCTCCTATTTTCCACCCGAGAGATACGGGGACCGTGGTCTCTTTGAGGGATTTGACCTTGGAAGAAAAAGGGACCCCACTGTCTATTCCTGGGAGGAAGACGCACCTCGCAGGAAGGCTACCTTGGGGATTTAAGTATTTTATATGTCCTCTATTTAAACAACAAGAGGGTAATTGCAACCATATCCCCTTACAGAGTGTGGCACTGCTTTGACACTTATGTCACGGTTGTTAATATTTAGATTACACTGTGTGGTTCTATTCTCACTTATGCAGTGTTCTCTCATTAAGAGCACAGGATTGAGGTGATTTCACCATCACTTATTCGTTTATCTATCCTGATCACTGATGTGATTGCATGATATCATTTCACAATAATATGTATTAAGGATAATGCACTATATTATTTTTCGTTCTTTGAGGATCGTTTGGATTGAGTAGGAAGATTCTGGATATTTTTGGATATTTTTGGATATTTTTGGATATTCTTTGGATGTTTTACACATAAAAGGACTATTGTTATTTAATTTGGACTTTACTTTCCATTTTATTTTTTTCTATTTTTGGACTTTATTACACAATTTTATATTTTTGGATTGAGGTGTGGACATTTACATTTATATTTATGTATATGAGATTGTGGGAGAGGGTTACATTGGATTATTGAAAAGGTGTTTGTTGTTTGCACTTTCAAGGGTGAAAGTTTGACTTTTCAGAAGGGAGCTATAGAGTATTGGTTTATATTCTATATAATGCAGACAGATCATGGCTGGCCGGCAGGGTGCTGTACATAGCGTCCTGAAAACATCGCAGCACCCTGCCTCAGTACTCCTCTCAAGTGCCCTCAGCCCTGATTCAGGCAGTGTGGGAATTGTGACAATCTTTGAACGTGGATGAGTTGCCACCCTAGGTAATGCTGAGCCTCTATGATTGGAAGAACTGAAGTCCAATAAATGAAAGGGACGGGACAGGGAGTGTCAGGCTGGGGAGAAAGGGCTAGATGATGTTGGATGTCCTCCTCGGAAATGAGATGGGCAGGATGGGTCTTACTGCAGCTTCC